GATTGACCAAAGTAAGTACCATTTTATAGAATTCATGCAGAATTTCGGCAAAAATACTAGTGTCATAAGGTCACATGACTTTGGTATACTGAAATATAAGTTTCAGAAGATGAGACTAGTAAATACTTAATGATGTAGATACCACCAATCTGTTGCTGGTTAACTGAAATTTGATAAACAACGAAATTCCTCGAAGAAGTATAAGACAAAAAGAATGGCAGACGTAACGCTAACGCTATTAGCAAACCTTTTTCTACATTAACTTGACAGATTACTACACGTTGATAATGCATCATTATTACGTAGAAATTCTTAATCGTCCCCCAAAAAAATTAATTTCCTCTTCAACACGTATATCTTGTTAATTAAATTCATTTCTAAATTTCTTACAACTATTTTTTGTACTCCTTAAATAGTCACTTCAAGATGTTTGTATTACTTTATGCCGGTAGCGCAAGATACCTAATTAAGAATGATTAAAAATAAAGGACAGACCTTATATTAATTGACAGGACGAGCGCATTGATCGCCCGAAAAAAAGTCTCCCAGTTAGGAGAAACACTTCGGGACCAATTTTTTTCGTCTTAATTAATGTAGTAATTTTACATCGTAGGGAATACTTTTTATTAAGATTGCAATTAAGTGTAAATTACCATCGTAAAGTAAACCGCTTCAATCATTCGATTTTAATGATTCGAAAGACGTTTTGTACGAGAAGGAACAGTATTTTACCGATTTCTTGTAACACACGTTGTATACTTGTATTGTTGCCCTGAAAATTGATGCATAATGTCTCACTGGAATAGAGTTGAGTACCTATAGTGTTGGTATATAATTATAGTACTGAAAATTAGCTTTCCATAAAATGGTAGAATGTAAATAAAATTTTCAACCAATACCTAAGTGTCCTACTTGCTTTGTAATTCAAGTTTACAGCATGTGGCAGTGTGTTGTGTATTTATGACAAAAGTAGGAAATCTGTAATAAATTTTTTGAGCTGTTAAACGATTTTTGAGTCATATATTAACTTTAACGGATAAGGACTCAAAAATTCAGCATCATTTCAAAACAAATATTGGGTTTATCAAAAATTTCGAGGCTTATCTCAAATTGTTTTATATACGCCAGCTTGGCAAAACTTTTTACAAATTAAACTTTATAACAAAATAAAAATAAATGCATTCTTTCCCTTCTTTTTTTTTAAATCCACGTCATCCACTTCTCACCTCCTCCTCCCTCATTCAGCACCCCACTCCTACTTCTCCTTGTCATTTCCAACTCCAAAGCATGCGTTGTATGTCCTTTTCCTCCTCTCCGCATATTCTACATTTTCTTGCTTCTTGTCTCCATTTCTCTTTCTCTCTTTATTTCCACGTTTTAATCTGGCTATATTGTTCATCCTCAGCTTGTCCGCATCCATTTCTTTCGTAATACTTTCCTCTTAGTCTTTCTCACATTCCTTTTGCGTTCACCCTCGTTGTCATGCATTCTTTCACCAATTCGCTTTCTCGATCGCGGCTTTCCTTGAATCTTACCGCCCTGCACCCTGACGCTTTCCTTATCTTTTCCATTTTAATTTCTTCCTCTAATATACAATTTGATGTCCTTCCGTTTAACCAAAACCTCATTTGTAAGATCTCCCTTGACGTTCTCCCAGTTCCTCGCATTCGATCCACCTGCATACCCCTCTCACAATTGTATCAAACAGGTATACTTTCTTGTTTTAAAATCATTCTTCAACACCCTCTCTCCAATTCCCCACACCTGTCCATCGCCACCACCTCCTTTTTCCTTAATCCTCTTATCTGCCCATTTGCCCCACTGTTCCTTTCCATTTGGTACCCTAAATATTTAATTTATTTTACCTTTATCATTTTTCCCTCCATTTCCATTCTCCCTTTTCCTTCCACCATTCTTCCAAAATCTCATCATCTTCGGCTTTTCCACATTTAGCTCCATCCCTTTCCTTTCCCAATACATTTCCATTCTTCACATCACTTCTTTCATCTGTTTCACCTCTGTTTTCATAATCACTGCGTCGGCGTCGCCGGCCTATGCCAGGGTCCATATCTTTCTTATTCCCAGTTCCCACTACAATCCTCCACCTTGCCTCTGTCGGAATACTTTTTCCATGTCTCTCAAGTAGAAATAAAATAAGGTGGGCATTCCTGACTTAGTCCTTCACATGTCCAAAAACACTTCAGACTCCTTCCCTTCTAGTCTTGCCCTCAATCTTGTCTCTCCATATAGTTCCTTGATTCTATCGAATCCTTTAAGTTCTTGTCAATTTTCTCATCTTCCATCACCTTCCATATTTTTCCACTCTGTCAAAGGCTGCCTTTAAGTCCATGAATACCGTGAACACCTTTCTGTCCTTTTTCTAATTCCTTTTTCACCAAACTGTGTAATACGTAAATGCAGTCGATCGTTTCCCTCCCTTTTCGCCGTAGTCATTATAGCACTTCCCCTATAATTTCCCACACAATCTTTGCTCCCTTTTTCTAAGATCTGCATTATTACCCCCTCCTTCCATTCTTTCGGTAAACTCCCTCCTTTCTATACCTTGTTTACTAAATTTAAATTTCTCGTCCCTTTCTTGGCCCTCTTTGTGGCGCAAATCCAAGCCTCATTACCTTTCTGGTCTCTCCATGCCGTTTTCGTTTTCTTCAGTCAAGTTTTTAATTGCTGCTCCATCCCTCCCTTCTTATCTCATCTCTTCTCTTTCTACCTCCTGTAGTAACTAAATGTTGTGTCCATTCCCCTAATATTTGTCCATCTTTTCTCTTTACAATTTCTTCTGTACTTTTTTCTGTACTCTCACCTCCTTCTCCTCTTCTTTCTTTCTCCATTATTTCTCTGTACATATATATATATATATATATACATATATTTCTCTGTTATGTACACTATCCTATGAAAATAACTTTACCTCGAAAAGATACAACAGTTCTCCATTCACGTAAATACGTTTAAATACATACTTCAGACAATTTTGGCTTAATGTCTCTGGATTTTCTACATGGGATTTCCATATCTTTCGCAATGTAAGAACCTATCATTTCAACGACAAAATCAAATATTCTCTCATTCCCAGTGGTACCAACTACACGTCTAACACATTAAAGGCGCAATCAGTCAGCTACTTAAACTTAAATTTACGTCTTATGGCATCGAAATTGATTTCCCAATTCGCGAACACAGCGAGTTTGACAACTTGTCTTTGGCCAAAGTGTATGATAAATTCTTTGCTCTGAGTTATACTACACAATTTTCAATCAAAAAAAGAAATGGTTAGTGCCGGATTAGTTATGTTTGCGCCCCAGGCTCAATTATAAATGAAAAGTTTCTTGATAGAGCGTAAGCCAACTAGCAGAAACGTTTCGTCCGAAAACTATAGATACAGTATATCGGATTCACCATTTTCACCTTTCGACTACTTTTACCGCATTTTCCAACGAAGACCAACCCTAAATTAGTTATACCTGCACTACAACCATCATAACCCAACGCGAGAATTACAATTACTAGTGAAATAATAGAGGACGATAAATTAAATGAAAGTAGGTAATTATACTGCAGTCTCTTATTAAACACACAAATCAAAAGGGAAGTTAAACGCATGCAGCAGTACCTATACCTAGTGTCCAAAAATTTTGAAAATCACAGAACCAATTATTGTTGTAACATTTTTATCTTACCTAAAGGAATTTTGTAGTGACCCCTATTAACTAAATAATTGACGAGTTATCGGTTGGCATTAGACTATTGACACTAACACAACGTTGTAAATATCAAGTAAGTAGGTATAACGCGTATAAACTCAAATTAGGAATATTTTAATAATTAATTAAGAGCTTACAAAATATTTTTTAAAGCGTTCAGATTTTTCGTTTATGTTATTAAAATTGTTCTTGTCGTAAGACATTTCACTTTTGTACAACTTTGGACAGACGGTAAAATGATTAAAAAAACCTGTAATTTGAACAAATTTCAAAATGAATACGATCTGCTTTTTATTTATTATCTATTTTTTTCTATATGAAACTGTTTTCTATATCTAAATAGTTAAACTAATTTTATCGATTTTGGCACGTAAACAAGTTAGTTGAAATATTAGAACGTGAAATAGAGCAATGCCCGAATAAAATGTTATTTTAATAGCCATATAGCTAGTTAATTTTATTTGAACGTGTGGGCATCCAGGCATATTTCATCTCATTTCCTACATTTTGTTACATCCACGTGATTATGGTGACAATAAATAATTCTCTATTATAAACTCTCTGAAGCTGGAAGGTATAGCTAATGAAGGGTCGAATAACTTTTTCTTCCGCAAGGCATTAAGTTGGGAAATGACAATAAGGGCCATTGTTCGGATGTTTGAGGTAAATTAATATAATAGCGTCAACAGATGAATAATATGATCAGGTAACGAGAAGCAGCTTTCTATTTCCTGCTGTTTTTTATTGCCGTAAAACAATTGAAATGATTGGCAGTAACGAACTTAAATTCCCGCCTTTTAGGCGTTTGATATCTGTAATAGGATTGGTTGATATTTTAAAGAGGGGATAATAAAATCAATTTAATGCCATCGCTTGATCGCTGAAGTGTATCAAAGAAAAGGAGATATCAGGGGTTGCAAACGACCGAGAGAGAGAAAACCTGAGCTTTTTGTTATCCTGTTAACTATGCGTGACATACGTGTGTTTGTATGGTGTTTGTTTGCGAGCTTTTTGTGTTGTCACATTAAAACCTTTTTTTTAATGAATTCGGGTTTAATGTGATTAACTCTGTGGCCAGGTTTATTATTAGATAATTAATATGTGCGGGTCTGCGGCGGATATTGGAGGAATACCAAAATGCATATAAGTATAATTGCATCTGAAATGTGAATGGGAGAAACTGATGGTATAGGAGAAGGAAGACAAACGAGCTAATATGACACAAATAGGTGCCTAATCACTTAGTACGTCATGCAAACCGAATTTGAACATCAGTGGTGACAAACAGGCAATATTCTATTTTGATTAAAATGAGGGGGCGTTCCTTTGATATCAATCGACTCCGCCTGCAAAAGCACGAATACCTTACTTCATCCTGCTACTGTTCAGTCGACCACCACAACTGTTACCAACCGCACCACAAAAAAACAACAGTTTCCGGGGTGTTTTGTTCTCTCGACGTGACCGAGTTCGCAATTAGCGCTGCATATAAAACGCTAATCGACATTGAGAAAAATCGACCTATTTATAAGTAGCTTGAGTTTCCAATTCATGCCTTTAACTAGTTCGGCGTATAATAATGAAATTGAAGTGGGCTAATAAGCACTTAAACTTTTAAGTGCGTGTACTAAAATACGAAGTAGATCCATTATTGATTATACGTGCAAATCCCCATTTATTCAATTTACGATTATGAGCAAGGATTTATTATTCAATAGGTATGTACCCATATAATACAACGCATCATGGACGATTTTAAAGTTTAATAATGGCCAAATCGATTAAATCAGAGCCCGGTTACAAAACAAAAATATCGTTCAGCGTCGAATCACTTTTATCATCGAAAAAATACACGGACAACCTCGACGAAATTAATAGCGAGGAGGATGAGGATCACATCGACGTAGACGATCATTCGGAAGATGAAGGGAAAATTGAAGAAGAGGACGAAATAAAAGTAACCGATAATGATGGGGATGAGCTCGAGAGTAGGGAAAGTGGAAGTCCTGTATCACATTCGGTCATCATACCGCAACCGATCCATCCTTCCATTCCCCACGTGTTACCTACGACGGGACCGCAGCAATGGCCGTTCGCCTGGACGGGACTTGGACCCTTATTCCGCGCGCCTTCACCCCACGGTAAACCTTATTTCTATTTTATAGTTCGCTTTCAACCGTAAAAAAAAGGTATGACATACATAGAAACCGCTAACGAGATCAATGCTATTATACATTACAGGAAATCACAATCTCTGCAGGTATGGTAATTTGTCAAAAATATTCAAATTAAGATGTTAGAATTAATATATTATGGTTGGCGATCACATTTGCATTAACCAGGAAATTAATTTTTACATTCAAAAACACTTACCTGTCATCGTAGGTGTACAAAAAATTAAGCGTTATATATTCGCCCATATTAAAACCGCAATTATGCATATACATATGCAGGTCTTTTATATAACAATTATGAACAGATTTGAAAATACCCTGCGTACTGAAAACTGAACGAAACCCACTGGGCGTTTTAATTATTTTATGATGCGCTTTGATAGATACATATTGCAAATTTAACTCGCAATTATAAGGCATTTTCTATAACGCATTCTATAAGAAAGTCTAATTCAATTAATTCTCACAGAGAATCAATCATCTGACACGGTTACAATATGTAAATATATACGTTCTTAACTTGTATAATTGATCCATCTCACTAACAGAACCAAGTTAGTAAGTAATTCAATGAAAGTGCAGGTAATTGCCGATTCATATATCCCGCTGGTATTCGTATCTATATACCTAGCTTATTTTCTATTACGTTCATAAATGCCGAAACTTAGACCTAAAAATGGCTCTAGATGTAAATAATTATTTGTAATTGCAACTTCCTTTTCTATAACTATTCAATTCATTTATTGCATCTTAATAATTACATTGTAATTTTTTCACTCGTCTTAGGGTTACTTAGGTACTTACAAGGCGTATGTGTAATGTACCTATATAGCGATATTTACCAAGAAGTAGGTACACATTGGGATTGGCGTGTATTGTTTCTCCCATGTCTACTTTTAAAAGACAAAATCTCTTTTGAAAGGCGCCCGAATTGTATGCCCCAAAACAGCTTCTTAATTCAAACAAAGATATGGATGGCATATTAATTAATTTATATATTGCTGCTTTGACTTCGTTCGTGTGATGTATTCAACTGAAGAAAAATTGATATTGTCAATCGGTATAGTGCCGGTAACAGTTTAAGAAGCGTAAGAGACTTATTTTTTGTGAAGTATGTAGAAAGGGCCTATAAAATTAGGGGCCCCTCAGAAAGATCTTGTCTTTTAAAAGTAGACATAGACAAAAACAATACACGTAACTCCCTATGTCTACTTTTTAATAAATATCAGTGTATATAAAATAAACCAAACCATTAACCTATTAAAATATATTTAGGTAATATGTTTATTATAAATTTATTTTGAATAGTTTTCAGATCTCTTGGAAGCTTATTAAAGGAAATTTACACCGGTATGGTTTAATGATTTAGTACCTATAATAGCTATTCTTAACCTTAAAATTTACAAAATCCCTTTTGTGTCTGGTGTTATAACTATGAATATCACAATTCCTCACAAGGTTGTGCTTATTTAAGGGTCTACCTAATCAAGTTGCTGTGATCGGATTAATTTTTAGTTATATTACAGCAGTTAATTTCCCTGAAGGTATCTTAAAAAGGAAATTTGAATTTGAGCTGTGGTTTTTTTTCAAAAATTATTTAAATTCGTAAAAAATGTAAATTTTATTCAATCATAAATCCGATTCTATATACAGGGTGACAATTTGAAAACTTACCACCCCCCATATCTTAGTAAATAAACGAGATATTAAAAAAAATCAAAATCCGTTTCGGTAATTCGGAGGGGGAATCACAATGACATAGTTGGCGACGCACCCCCTCACACCCCCTGCGCCCTTGCCACCCCAACTTTTAAATCTTAAATAGTGACCCCCCATGTGTGATAAGTCGTTGGAAAGCTCTGAAAAAATGCTTTCCAACCATACCAAATAGCATTACATTTAGGTTAGTAATTATCGTGCAAATCAAAAAATAAACTAATATGATACATTTTCTAAAGTTGGCTTTCATTTCAATAAATGTTCAAAATGTTTTCCGTTATTGGGAAGACAGTATTACTATGCGATCAAAAATGAGTTGCCCTTTGAAATTTTTGTTTACATGGAAAATCGTATTTAACTTGAACTTCCAAAGCCGACTCGACAGCAACTCATTTTTGATCGCCAGTTATAATCTAATCTCAAACTCTTGGCGAACCTTTTCAAATGTTGGTTTTGCAATATTTCGACATTCTTGAATTATTCTCTGTCTTAGTTCGTCTATGTTCGCCGGTTGCGTTTTAAATACGACAGATTTCAAATGTATCATATTAGTTTATTTTTTGATTTTCACGATAATTACTAACCTAAATGTAATGCTGTTTGGTATGGTTGGAAAGCATTTTTTCAGAGCTTTCTAACGACGTATCACACATGGGGGGTCACTATTTAAGATTTAAAAGTTGGAGTGGCTGGGGCGCAGGGGGTTGGAGGGGGTGCGTCGCCAATTATGTCATTGTGATTCCCCCTCCGAATTACCGAAACGGATTTTGATTTTTTTAAATATCTCGTTTATTTAGTAAGATATGGGGGGTGGTAAGTTTTCAAATTGTCACCCTGTATAGTAGCTAGGGTAGTATTCAATTTTTACGAAATAATACAGATATCGGTATACTTATTGCATTATCTGAAATGTTAATTACATTTTCGTTAATCAGTAAAAAAAAACTTCAAAAACGAGTATATACACGGTGTCCATTTTATAGTGCCACTATGGGGATCTCACTTATCTTAAGAGATAGAAACTTGGTTAAATGGGGCAAAGTTGCCAATTTTCGTGCGGAATAAGAATCTGAAGAGAAATTTGAAATATCTTTAATAGTTTTGAAGACATCGCAAAAAAACGAAAATGTCTGATTTTCGTTTTTAATTTTTATATGATAATATATGATAAACTAATCGTAGTACCCATTTCTAATTAACACATTATTCGGACACTTTGTAATGGAGATTTCAAATATGACATCCTGTTTTTAATAACTTTCAAGATGACTGAGAAACACGTGGCAACTTTAGTTTTTCTAATGAGCGCCATTTTGAATTTTCACATTTCGAGATTACGTCTTTTTTTCTCTTTACAACGATATATCACACATAGTGGTACAGTATCACATTTCTCCTAAAAATACAATTTTTAATTTTTTGAGAAGAGTGCTTTGGAAAAACAAAACGTTCTTTTGTTGTGAACAAAAGGTTGACTTATTTCATGTATTGTCATTTCGGTTTATGCTAGTTGTATTGCGAAAATGCCTTTTTCAAAAAATTTACTACACTTCTCATCGAAATGCCCACATATGGCTGCTGCAACATACTTGCAGCGTTATCCAGAGCGGCAACAACCTAGTTTGAGGTATTTTTCTTTGCTGCATAAAAACTTGGGCGAATATGGTTCTTTTAAAAGATGTAGACAGCAATATGGTAATAGACCCAATGAATATGAGTAGGCAATTTTGCAAGCGGTAAAAATTTTACATAATTACAACTACTGATCCATTCATCATTTAATAATTGTTAATTAGGTGCAATCGTGCAATAAAACAATCCATCTGTCTCCTAAAAAGAAGTTGCAGCCCAGCTGAATTTACAAAACATTGCCAGCCGACCTTGATGAACTTCGTCATAGAATTGTGAGCACTCTCAGGCACGAGATTAGAAGAAGGGATGTGTCAAGAGCCATAGCAAGTCTTAGGAAGAGAGTGGCACTGTGCGCAGAATTAGGAGGTGGGCAATTTGAACACATGTTGTGATGTATTTTCTAATTTTAATTATAATTTTCTTGCAAAACGAAGGTTCAATTCTGTTCAGATGAAAATCGAATTTCTATTTCTCTGACAAAGCTGCAACCAGACAGATGGATCAAACTGTCAAACTTTTGTTTACAACAAAAGAACGTTTTGTTTTTCCAAAGCACTCTTCTCAAAAAATTAAAAATTGTATTTTTACGAAAAATGTGTTACTGAACCACCATGTGTGATATATCGTTGTAAAGAGAAAAAAAGACGTTATCCCAAAATGTCAAAATTCAATATGGCGCCCATAAGAAAAACTAAAGTTGCCACGTGTTTCTCCGTCATCTTGAAAGTTATTAAAAACAGAATGCCATATTTGAAATCTCCATTAAAAAGTGTCCGAATAATGTGTTAATTAGAAATGTCTACTACGATTAGTTTATCATAAAAAAATTAAAAACGAAAATCAGAAATTTTCGTTTTTTGCGATATCTTCAAAACTATTGAAGATATTTCAAATTTCTTTTCAGATTCTTACTCAGCACGGAAATTTGCAACTTTGCTCCCATGTAACCAACTTTCTATCTCTTAAGATAAGTGAGATCTCCATAGTGGCACTCGAAAAATGGACACCGTGTATAGTACCGATGCATGTAGCATGTTCCGTTGAAAACTATACAATTTAAAAGGGTTATGATTATTAATGAGTAATGACCTACCCTTATTTTAATTACTAAATTTGTCTTGAAATGCACTAAATCCCGCCTATATATTCAGGCTAATATAGCATTGCGCCTTCCACCATCCATGGGATCATTATTGCTTCGCGTCTTATCGTGGAAATACCCAATCACATTTTATAACATGGTATAATTCTTACCTACATTTTATTTAGTTTTGAAGCACTTTTATACCTAAGTATACGCATATACCTACCCAATACAAAGAGTTTCAGATCATCAGCGACAATAGATCGTTATTTATATAAAAAAAATTGAAATCAGCGACAATATCGACCATTGATCGCTTTAATCTGTGAGCAATTCAGTTTTGTTGAACCTCTGTGAAACAAAAAAAAGTACCTGCACTTATGGTGCAGGAGTTCAGAAGGTGTAGTTGTGGGTGAAAAATAGGAAATCCCGGCAAACCGCCGTCTATGGGAAGAGAAAGAGGAGTAGGATATAGTAGTCGAAGTAAAATGTTTAAAAACACTTTTTATTCAATGGTTTAGTGGAGAGCAGA